AGACTTTGACGGAGAAGTGAGGGCCGGTGTGTCATAGCTTATGACGTTGTCGGGCCGATGGGGATGGGATGTCCGTTGCCGATTGGACTCGGGAGCTGGTGTGTCGTAGCGCATGACGTTGTCGGGCCGACAGGAATGGGATGTCCGTTGCCGATTGGAGTGCAGCTGTTACCAAGGAAGCGTGATGCGGTGACGAGACGGCGGCGATACAGGCGCGTTTGATGCGCTGATGCATGCTCGTCGGTGATGCGCTCTCCAGTTGTTTGGCGTGCGGTTAGGACTTGTAAACTGGCGCCAATGCGCCGACGACGTTTTGGAGGGTCGTACAAATGTAGGATAAATCGTAGAAAATGGAAAAATAATAGGAGGCCGGGGCTATGCCCACGACACGTGTCTCGCCTTTTTGGAACAAAAACCAGAGCATCCTTTCTGTAAATTATGAGGTCTGTTTTTTAAGTTTTGCGCGAGATATGTTCTATTTCAAGGTATCTTCATGTTCCATTCTCATCTCAGACGCCTTTAAACTTCAAAACATCTTTGGCAGATCGACCGCCATTGTTTTGAAACTGTACTAGTGCTATACAGACTTGTGTAAGTGCCGAGGAATGTTCATTATGCCCATAGTAATTACATCCCACGCTCCCCCCAGAATGGGCATGCCATTGGCCATCTGTCTAATGCGACAACCTTGATTGCTACAGCCCAAAGCACATATAAAGTCCTATAACTTGTGTTCCCCAGCCCAACGTCGAAGACTTTCCTCGCATCGCTAGCCCTGACATCGATACTACATTGTTAGTAATTCTGCCGTGCCTGCACAGCTTGCTACAATGACATGACACTTCTTAGGTCTGTTGTTGTCTTGTAGGAACGCAATGTCCAAAGCTACTGCTGAGGGGAGTATTACCTGCAATCCTCCGAATCTGATACTCACATTTCGCATCAATGGGAAGGTCCGCATCTGCACCTGCCCGGTGACATTGCCATTCACCCCCGCATTCAAGGTCAGCAACGCGACATTGGATTGCACTAAATTGGAAGGCAGCCACATCTTTCAAGGTCTAGTTGGTGAAACTCTCACCATCACGTCCGATGATGGAAGTACTACCATTACCGGGCCTGTTGACCTGCACCGCCTGTCATCGATCCACCCGCCCAATTCACGGGACAAATTGTTTGGTCCCCCTATGACGCTACGGACGTGAGTCTTCAGATTCAGATTCAGTGATCCTGCAAGCTGATACTGTGCAGTAAGCCCTTGCAGAGAAGATTATACGTTGAGAGCGGCGCTCGGGACATAGGCAGTAGTGGGAACGGCGTAGGCTCGGCAACGTATTTCGCTCCCCTGAAGCTAGCTTGTGTTTCCACTGCTGAGAATTCGGACACATAAGTATGAATACAATGTCCGTTTCAATGTTGATATCATTTTGCCCAATTGTAAGTGAACTCCAAGAACAGTATGGCGTGGGCTGACGGTTCTGCTTTGCCATAGACAGTCACGCGGCAATGCAAGCAAAGTCAGTCTTCGATGCTGAAGAGCAAGGGAGAGGTGTACACAGTTTCAGCACTTGACCCGACGACAAAGGGTATTTGTTCATATCAACCAACGACAAATATTTGGCATGCTCACATTGCAAATCAGGTTGCAACTCGAAGCATGGAGCTTGAAATGAGAGCGCTAGACAGTTGACAATCTACCGAAAACATCTCTAAGGTTCAAGGGAAATACTAAGAGATATGACCTCGCAAGGCACTGGATGCATCCGTCTCCGTTCACCGAGCCGTCCGACACACTAGCATACGAGACTCAAGAAGTTCAGTGAGACTCAGTATTGTGACTAGAGACAATGTACTTGGACCATCCACTGAGGTTTAGTGCATTATTCGATGCGCAATGCGAAATAGTCGGTATCTCTTTCCTCAGTGGTTTCAAATGGCCTTGTCATTTTGACGTGCGATGAAGAGCTCGAGGCCAACGTGTACAGACCCTGTTCCCTGCCGTTGCTGGGGCATACAGTGGACCAGTTTGGACCACATATGGTATGTCTCCAAATTACTGCTCATACTTAGCATAGGTATTGAGTTCGGGGAAGCTCGAGATCAAACCTACCTAGGACCCTTTCAGGAAATTCCCACTTCTCCATTAACTTTGGTGCCTCTATCAATCAAAGATGCTGCTCGTTCCATTCGTCGGGGCATCCTGTCTATCATGGAACAGCGGCTCTCAGACATCATTTCATTCAGTCACAGTACTACATCTCGCAGGTTCCATTATGCGTAAAACCAGTAACCCAATAATATCATTAAATTTCATCTGAATCTGGTCATGCCTTGTCTTGTCCCCTCAGGGACTCGTGGCTCATGTTGTATAAGCTACTCAGTACATTCTCTACTGGCTAAGTCTTTCAGTAGTCTAGGCCACCGCGACACAACTCACACAAGCCCTTACCGACGTGCAGCTCAGAACCAATGAGCCCCTTCCGCGTGCTTCGTCTGCCAACACCTGCTCTAAGCAGACGGCTGGGGTCTGCTGTCCAGTCAGCTGCTATACTTACATAGCTTCGTGGCGAAGTACGTGCTATACCACCTACCAGATCACTACGGGTGATGGGAAGTGTACTCATCCACTCAGCCTGTTGTGACTCAAATTTAACGCGCAACGGCATCTTTACTACGGTGTGCATTGTATACCATTGTCTTGGCCTCTCAAGCTATTTCAAAAGATTGATATAAATCCTTACTGTTGTGCGAGGTGAACAATCTTGTGCAAGATGCTGAAAAGGTGCAAAACATACGTCACGAGCTCAATAGGATGCCTAACATACTATATGACGATAATCTCATGGTAGTTACTACATACACATACAAGAGTACCAGGAGATTTGAGCCGCTGACACTCTGCATCAGCTTCATGGTACCAGCGCCGCCGGGAGGGCACAGGACACTACCCTGCCTATGAGGATCACTGCACAGCATCAGCCGTGCGATAATACATCAACGGTAACCACCTACCTCAGCGTTCGTGCGCAGTGACCACTTGCCACTGCCCACAATAGTGATCGGAGGATCTATGCCAGCACCAGTAACCTTCCCAGTGATAACGGTGCTAATCCTGTCGCGGGTACAAGTAATGTTGACCTTTTCTCCAGTGGTTCCGTTGACTGTGACGTGGCTGGTCATGTCTGTCTCTTTGGTGTAAGTAAGCGTTGCGTTGACAACTTTGAAGGGGTCAATGGTGTTGTCTGTAGTAATGAAGATAGCATAGGGAGTCTCGTTGTCGGTAGTGAAATTGCCTGCCAACGAAGCGGCACCGGTGGTGTGGATCTCTCCGGAGGCAGGAGATGGCATGGTTATGGCGCTCCTGCGGGACAACAGTACACATGAGTGCCATGCCACCTTCAGGGTTATGCGAGCACAGGATAATTACTTACGATGTAACTTTGGTGCTGAGACTAGCAATGCGAAGTGGGTCTTCGATGCTGGCTTGTAGAGTGTGGAGTATAGGACCTTATATATGATATGAGCTTCAATGGTCATTGGTCATGAATATAACGTCAGACGGAGGGAGAGCAACACATGAGACAGCCATACTGGAGCAAGAGTTTTAGTTCAGCGGCCCAGACATGGGAACTTATTAAGTTACACCGGACTAGCCACCAGAAGCGCCCAAGAGCGGCTAATAAGGCTCCAACCGTTTAGTTTACATGTAAACTTTTTTGTAAACACACAGTAAACAGTTGTAAATGTTTATAAACAGTTTATAAACAGTAAACAAACAGTTATTACAGGGATCTAACCCACTCTAGTGGATTGCGCCAGATTAGCCTCTGAGAAACCTGTGTGAGCCTACTGCTCTACTTGAGCCTAAAAAGAGAGGTACAAGTGTCAGTGCTTGAGCAATGCAAGGCGCTTGCTTGATGCACGAGAGAAAAGCGAGGCTGCAGCTTCCTACTTATAATATTGATGTCCCAAATACTAGGCCCGACTCGGACGTGTATAGATAGTGCACCTACTCATGCGTACAGGGAAGGAGCAATGCGTGCATCACATCCCGAGCACAGACCGGCCATCAGGCAGCATCTGAACACTCCGTATCTTAAGCATCGTGCTATGGTCATCCCTATGGCCCGCTGGTGTCCCCTACGCATAGTACGCAGATTGCAGGCACATGAACAGTCTCGATCAGCCAGTGGAGGTTGCGGGAGGACAAACACTGGAAATCACAAGCTGCGGGAGCGGTATTGCCAGGCAGCACTGTACTGCGAGGGTAAGACCTATGAAGGTATCCGTGGGGCTTGTAAGAAGCTTGCAGTTCCACCTTTAGAAGGTTGGCATGTCCTATCATTGACCTCGTCGTTGAGAAGTGGGCCGATAACCTATGCGAGTGCTAGCCTGGCACTTTGGGGATGATATGACATACTCTCGTGCTAGGACTTCGAGAGCTGGCCTAGAGAAGACTGCCGCATGGGTGCGGACCTCTGATAGCCCTTTTTTAGAGTCAATCTGCCTTAGTATCGCATATGGTACTGTCATCGCTCAATGAGGTTGAACTAATATTAACATTGTTCCTTTTGAATGAAATATGGGCTCACGACATTTCCGCATACTGCACTCTCGCAGGCAGGCTGCCAGTGCCCACAGTAGACTATATGTAGAGGAGCAGTCAATAAATACACATTATATTATATTTATAATGCTCGCCTTCAGACTGTGCTCAAAACAAGTTAGGATCATGACTACCATTACTCCCAGTAAGTCTCAGGGCATAGGCGCTTGATACAGTGTGCCAGGCTTGGGGGTTCAAAGAGGCCGCCCAAGGACAATGCACAGGTGGTGCGATGCACTCTTCAGCCCAATAAAGGCCAAGTCTGTTAGCAAGACTATGAATGTACAACACTAAGACCTTTTACAAACAACAAGAGGAAACTGTATGTTTACTGTGTATAAACGTTTACACCAAGTTTACATGACTTCATTTACACACACGGAAACAGTAAACAGTAATAAACATTTATACACAGTAAACAAACAAAACAGTTGGAGCCTTAGCAGCTAAGACACGCTGAAGAATTTCCGAAAAGCCCAAAAAATGGCACAAGTGGGAATCAAACCTGCAGCCCGAAAGTAACTGCAGCGCACTATACCACTAAGGCATAAGACCTTGCAAATGTGAGGCTGGAATTGCCCTATAGTACCACTTTTCTACCTCAAAGTCTTAGCTGTAATATTGTAGCCAATTATCAGGTATTAAAGCATTGGAATGTAATTGTACAAATGTATATCCTGATGGTGTGGCTAAGACACTGACGTGGCTAAGACACCAGTGTGGCTAAGACATTGAGTAATCAAATATTTGCTATTGATTCTGCTTATTGTACAAATGTATATCCTGATGGCGTGGCTAAGACACTGACATGGCTAAGACACCAGTGTGGCTAAGACATTGAGTTATTAAATATTTGCTATTGATTCTGCTTATTGTACAAATGTATATCCTGATGGCGTGGCTAAGACACTAGTGTGGCTAAAACACCGGAGCAGATGAACTATACTCAAGTAGAATCAATAGCAAATATTTAATGTTCCAATGTCTTAGCCACATTGGTGTCTTAGCCACGCCATCAGGATATACATTTGTACAATTACATTCCAATGCTTTAATACCTGATAATTGGCTACAATATTACAGCTAAGACTTTGAGGTAGAAAAGTGGTATTATAGGGCAATTCCAGCCTCACATTTGCAAGGTCTTATGCCTTAGTGGTATAGCGTGCTGCAGTTACTTTCGGGCTGCGGGTTCGATTCCCACTTGTGCTATTTTTTGGGCTTTTCGGAAATTCTTCAGCGTGTCTTAGCCGCTCTTGGGCGCTTCTGGTGGCTAGTCCGGTGTAACTTAATAAGTTCCTGTGTCTGGGCCGCCGAACTGAATCAGCTCACTGGAGTTCTCACAAAGCATTCTTCGGCCTCTATTGTGCATGCATGGAAACTGCGGAAAACTGCAGGCACACATCGATCTGTCAAAGAAAAGCCTGAGAAAAAGAGTAGTGAGACACTGCACCGCACATTTCACGGGGCACATCATCTGGCCTTCCGTCAACGCTACGGATGTGAGCCTTCGTCTTCGGACTCGGTGATGCCGCCAGCTGATACTGCGCAGTAAGCTCTTACGGGCGTGATCATGCCTTGAGAGCGGCGCGGGAACATAGGTACTAGTAGTGAGGATGATGCACATTTGGCAATGTGATCCGACCCCTTGAAGCTAGTTTGTGGCAGTTCTGCCCAGAGTTCAGACATAACAACATCGCAGTGCACGTTCCACTATCGGTGTCATTTAGTCCGGCCGTGTGTGTGATTTTTTAAGGGCGAAATGACATGGGAGACGCGCGACCCCAGGTAGCAGCATGGCCCCTGCCTGTGGCCAATAGGAGTAGACGAATCCAAGTCCGAGTTGCCGCAAAGGAACGTAAGTCTCGCGGTCTTCGTAATATTCGAAGCTTGCAGAAGCTGAATGTCAAACCTTCTGCGCTTCTGCTTCTCGCTTTCGGCCGTGGCACTACAGCGCAGACGGCCTCAAAACAGTGACATGCTTCAGGTATGCCTGTCTGTCTTGTCACATCTATACATGCTATTTTATTGGTTTTATGGTGTGCTGGGTGCAAATGAACTCGGAACTCAGAGCGACAGTCAAGCCATGTCTCGAGGACAATTTAAGCCTCATAAAGACGTGGTTCTACATCAGCAACTCCTGCTCATACGTGTTCGTGATCAAGGCTCCTCCGAACACGTGAACCACGGCTCGTGCCAATGGTGGGCTTTACTGTACATGTCCCGCTAAGTCTCAGGATATGTAGAGCGTGGTCGTTGCTTTACCATATACCGGGCCGAGGATCGTAACAAACCTAACTAGGACCCTTTCAGGAAATTCTCACGCTCTAATTGACTCCGATAGCTAATCTGAAGATGATCTTGTGGTACAACATTCAGAGCATGCCGGAGCCGTTACCTTCTCACGCTCCCTACGCCCATTCTATCTCATACAAGGCATGCGTGCCAATGTCTTGAACGGGAAACATCTGCATTCACCACACGTTGCAGGTTTATTCTGCATCTTTGGCCGCATGCAATATTACTAGTAGTGGCATGGCATGGCATGCTGCGCGATCAACAGGACTCATTCGGCGGATCTTGGGATGCCAGGGATCCTAAGAAAGCGTCGACCAGTGGCCTGCAATGTGAATGGTGAGCGAAAATTCTTGAATGTACATTCTTTGGTATAATCGAGTCTGGCTTGCAGGATGTCTACTATGCTAGTCAATACATGTCCTCAGACCCTCCGACTGTTGCATACAGTACCCGAAATTCGTCTCACTGCAGGGCACCCGCACCCGCACCCCCTTCCCCACGATGTGTCGATGCCGATGCGCTGGTGTGCCGATGTGTTGAGTCGCACCAAGCTTCTCGACTCTCGCATCCTATTGCGGACGGAATCTCAGCCATGGCTCGGTGAACGGGAACGGACTCATCCAGTGCCCTCTTTCAGTTCTCCGCAGCAAGCGATTCTCATGACATGTCAAGTCTGGTCACGTCTCAGGTTCTTGACCCTGCGCTCAGGCTCGGGCCTCTGGTAGATTCCAGCCTTATCCGGCTCCTATAGTTCTACAGAAAGAAGCATGACTAGCACCCTTACCCTGACGGCCACAGAATTTGTTTGTCGTCCGAGTCTAGCATAGTCATTGGAGCTTGCTCCGAGCGCACTGGCTTTAACAAATCATATCTCTCATTTCCCTTGAACCTTAACTCTTGTCTCAGTAGATCGACGCCCGGTTTCTTATCCCAAGCTCCATCATAATGCATCTAGCCGCAACGCGATTCTCAACGCGGGCGTGTAAATATTTGTGGTCGTCTAACGCAAACAAATATCGCTCGCTGTCGGGTTCGGCGCGTATATAAAGCCGTGGTCATCGTTCTTTTTCCCCAGCATCGAAAGCGGACTTCGTCTGCATCACCATTGCCTCGATATCGAACTTACATCGTCAGTGGTCTCCAATATCCTTGCTCAGCTTTCTGCGGCATGAGACTAACACACTGTTGCCCTGTAGGATCGCTATGTCCAACGTTGAAGCCAAGGGAACAGTCGACACCCATAACACCGGCAACTCGTGGACAGCTATCTTCAATGTCGATGGTCACAAATATTCGTTCAGCGCCTCCATGAGTCCCAACGTTACGGCATTCGAGATCACCAAAGCGAAGGTGCACTACACTGTGCCAGAAGACTTGACGGGTAGTGGCGTAGACTACGCAGGCACAGTCGGCAAGGAGATCGATATCACATTGAACAGCAGCTCTAAAGTCACCATCACTGGGAACCTCGACGTGGGTTTCGAAGTGTATCCTGAGACGAATATTACTGGGACCGGCACCTGGTCCGCTACCACGTTCGTAAGTCTTCATCCGGCGGCTCTATATTACAGAAGCTGATGCGGCGTAGTGAAATTCGATAAGCAGAGCTGTGCCTTGGCTGCAGCACTGGGATCGCTGAGGAGTAAGCTACGTGGCTGGATGTCAACGACGTGATCAGATGTCCCGGAGCTATTGCACTTGTATCAACACACTGAAATGCAGCGTATCCGCGATTATTTCTTCCGTGGCTCTGAGCGACACTATGACTTCGTCATGTGGCGAAGAAACTGAGCGTAATATGCACGGACTGTCTTCCTCGTCGCGGCTGAGGTCTACACTGAAGCAGAATGGTGCAGGTTATAAGGCTACTGTGCGATGAACGGCCCATAAAGCAAACTCGATGCATTGACCTGGAGAACCCTGCGTGTGCGGTACTCACACCGAAGCCAATAGTGCGAGTGTAGTCCGATAGCGATGCATGCATAACTCGCCCAAGGCTCGCACATGCAGACCGTGGTGCGCTCATGACCTGTACGGAGGCCTCAAGAGGCTCTGCGGACATCTCAGCGGAGTGCTTATAAACCCGCGTAGCATTATAATACCACGTCGGACTCGAACACGAGCATACGGCCATGTTTTTCTCAAGATTTGTAGTCTGTTGCTCAATTGTGGGCCTCAGCCGCGACGAGGAAGAGGGTCTGCGCGAGTCAGGCCCAGTTTTTTCGTTCCAGAGCGGATGATGATATCTCTCGAGACTGCCAAAGACAGAGTCGCCGATGACATTACATTGCACAGCCATACTGCTAAGCTTCAGCGATGGGACATGAAATCATGCTGCCGACACCACGCCACGTCCATCGTCATCGCTGATGCAGCACCTGGTCCTCAGTGATGCCAGCGCAGCGGTCCGGGAATCGTTCTGCTAACGAAATCTCACTGCACAACATCAGCTTCCACAGACGTGATGTCACCTAACGAAGACTCACGATCGCCGGGCGAGCATTCCAAGTACCGCTACCAACAATATTCGTCTCAGGATACACTGCGGTACCCACTTCAAGGCTCCCAGTGATGGTGACACCGTTTTCTAATGTGACGTTGAGCTCCTTGCCGACTGTGCCGTAATAGTCCACACTGCTGCCCGTCAAGTCTTCTGTATCATTGTAATGCAATTTCGCATCGGAGATTGTGAATGCCGAAACGTTGGGATTCATGGTGGCGCTGAACAAGTACTCGACGTCGTCGACAGTAAAAGTGCCTTTCCATGAGTTGCCAGTCTCATGAGTGTCGACCGTTCCTGAAGCTTCCTGAGACTTAGACATGGCGGGTCTACAAGGTAACAGTGTGTTAGTCCCATGCCGAAGAAAGCTGCGCAGGGGAATTGAGAATCACTGACGACGTACGGTCGTTATTAAGGCTAGGACGATGAAAGCAAAGTCGATCTTTGATGCTGAGGAGCAAGGGGAGAGATGTACGCAGTTTCATATACACACTGGACCCGACGACAAAGGGTATTTGTTCGTGTCAAACGACAACAAATATTTGGCGAGCCCATATTGCGAATCGCGTTGCAACCCGATGCGTGTAGCTTGAAATGAGAGCGCTGGACGGTCGACAATCTACCGAAAACATCTCTAAGGTTCAAGGGAAATACTAAGAGATATGACCTCGCAAGGCACTGGATGCATACGTTCCCGTTCACCGAACCGTCCGACGCACTAGCATACGAGACTCAAGAAGCTTGGTGAGACTCAATAATGACTAGAGGCAATGTACTTGTACCGTCCACTGGGATTCAGTAGCATTATTTGATGCGCAATGCGAAGTACTAGTCGGTATTTCTTTCCTCGGCGGTTTCAAATGGCCTTGTCATTTTGACGTGCGATGAAGAGCTCGAGGCCAACGTGTACAGACCCTGTTCCCTGCCGTTGCTGGGGCATACGGCGGACCAGTTTGGACCACATATGGTATGTCTCCGAATTACTGCTCATACTTAGCGTAGGTATTGAGTTCGGGGAAGCTCGAGATCAAACCTACCTAGGACCCTTTCAGGAAATTCCCACTTCTCTATTAACTTCGGTAACTCTATCAATCAAAGATGTCGCTCCTTCCATTCGTCGGGGCATCCTATTCATCGAGACAGCGGTTCTCAGCCTGAGGTATCGTTACATTCCGATTCAGCTGCGGCACCGCATCTCGCCAATTCGCTTTCGCACAATCATTGTCGCACCCTCCTCTGAGAGAAGCGAAGGCTTACCGATTACCTGTGATGCCCAAAGCACGCACCAGCACGCATGACATCTGAGCGGTGTAGTTGAGGACTTGGGGTGACATCTTGCAGGTTCCATCCGGTAACCCGATAACATTCAACTTCATCCGAGTCCGGACATGCCTCGTCTCGTCCCCTCAGGGCCTCGTGAGTCATGCTCTATGAGCTACTTAGTGTAGTTTCTACTGGCTGAGTCTTACAGAAGTTCAGATCACCGCGATACGAGCCCTTACCAACGTGCAGCTCAGAACCAATGAGCCCCTCCTGCGCGCTTCGCCTGCCAACACCTGTTCCACGCAGACGGTCGGGGTCTGCTGTCTGGTTGGCCGCTATACTTACGTACTTTCGTGGCAAAGTAAGTGCCATACCGCCTACCAGATCACCACGGGCGCCGGGAAGTGTATTCACCCACTCAGCCTGTCGTGATTCAAAGTTAACGCGCAACGAATTATCGTAGTTTCCTTACGCTGAGAGTCGCTCACTCGAATGGCAGTTCCTGATCTTTTGAGTCTTCCTTTTTAAGTCTCCATAGCGTCGAGGACCCGCGAAGTAGCTGCAAAGTCGCCTCCGGCGCTCATGTCGGCGCCACGGCATCTCGCGGCATTCGGAGGCGCCTACGGCTAGGCAACTGAAGTAACATTATTTCAGTCCTAAATCCTTGCAGATCGCTTAGTACTCAGCATTCGCAAGCTTCGGCGAGTAGTATGCCAGGACGCTAGCGAGCTTGGATGCGACCGGAGAGGCCGAATACACCTACAACGTGTACTACGTACGCAGGTTCGATTTCGTTCAACTCCGGGAGTCGCTGAAACACATGCCTCCCTCTCTCTAGCTCAGGGTAAAATCTGCTGGGTTGAACGTGGGATCTTCACATGTCCGCTATGTATCTCACATTGATAAGGCTCACATCCCACACTAGCGCGCCTAGCCATTCAGCCGACCGCGGCGGGCTGCCAGTGCCCGAGTCTGCTGCTGATCTATCCCTGTATGTATTTGCAGTGCGGGGCATGGGCACAGCTCTGCAGCTGCGAGCTGATTTGTTCAACAGCCTGTGACTTTGTCTCGTTCTCACGGATTCTTAGCCCGTGTCAAGACTGGAATGCTTAGGGCTCGACTTGGTCTCACATTCCGGAACCTCAAGGCCTCATGACGGATATGTCTCATTCAGCCTTGAAAATTCAACAAGGACCCTTCCGAAGCCACGGAATCCATTCCTCAGCTCTTCATGTGTCCTCTCTGATGTTCTGAAGGTGCGCAGAGGTGCTGTATCATCACATGGAGTCTGTTTCGCCGCCTTTGAACCTTCAAAACATTCAAGGGGATCGTCCGCCGCCAACTTCCATCGATGCGACATGTATTCGTGTCAGTGTCAAAAAATGCTCGCAAGCTTTCTCAGTGAGTTGAGTCCGCTTTATTCCTAATACGGATGTGCCGTTCGCTGTTTGTCTGATGCAAAGGCCTTCGCAGCCGGCCTGAGCGCAAAGCGTATTTAAGATCTCCGACCTCGCGCACTGCAACTCAGTATCGAAGGTCTACTTGTTTCGCATTATAACCCCATTATCAACGCTATATTGTTAGTAGCCTCCACAACGCGGAAGACATAATACTCAATGCTATCGTTACGCTGCAGGAACATCATGTCCGGACCTAAGGCCGCCCCAGGAGTTGTCGAGTACACTCCTCCCAATATATTTCGAGGTTTCTTCCACATCGATGGGTCAATCTACCATTTCATCGCTCCGACATCAATCACTTCGCACCCGTTCAAGGCCAGCGAAGCCACGCTGACTTACGTCGAATTGCCGAGTGGTACGCACTCGTATAGCGGAACGTTCGGGGACAGCGTCAACATAGCCAGCAACGACGGGAATACCATCAGTGGGAAGATTGATCCGCCTGGCGCAGTGGATCCCCCGGTCTCTGTCCAAGCCTCTCTTACTTGGCAATGAGGCCAAGGCTCGGAGGTGGATCTCTATGCACTGATCCTGTGATATCACGAGCTGATTTTGTGCAGAGCTGATTTTGTGCAGTGAGCTGTCATCGGGAGGATGATATCATTCGCGCCATGACCAGCAAATAAGCGAAATGGCCTGAGTATGTATTTGTATTCCCCAGCGCCCGGTTGTATCAATGTATTGTCCATGTATCGTTGACACCCCATTGCGTGACAACCATATGGTAAACTACGGTTTGGATGAAGGCGGTCACTGCCAGACCTTTCGTACGAGATATACGCTCAACATATGATGATAATCCTTTCGTTCGTGGGGTGGTGAACCACCGATCAGTGGTGAGCATCGTTAAATAAGGTTTACTGAGGCGCAAACGGCTTTAAGATGTTGTAGACTCTCTGTAAGCCACGTCGCGACGATTAGAGGGTAGGGCGACGAACCCTTAAGTGTGACACCCGTGCTGGAGAATACCGCGCAGAAGGCGGAAAAACTAGCGCATTCGTCCCACTCTGGCATTGACCTTCATGCATTCATGCTCAGCAATTTGTACGTATATCTGACAGAGCCTCAAGTACTGTTTCCCAGAGCCTCGTGGGCGAGCTCAAATGAGCGTGCTAGTACATTCGCGGCCACAGTACGGAGTACGGTCATTGATCGAAGTAGTACAAAGTCGTGATCAAACCTACTGAGGACCCTTTCGGGAAATTCTCATGCTTTTATTGGTCCCGGAGTGCGGGATTCTCAAGACTTTGATTAAATGATCGCGCTGTAATACACGCATTAGGCAATGAATTGAAATACGCACTAAGTTGTGCTGAGTCTATATCAGCAACCACATCCCCCTTCTGCTCGTTGCAGTGTCCCTTACACCATGAAATAACATCGCGACGCTGTAGAAGGGTTTTCAGCGCCAACACCAAGAACTTACATTTACCTTCTTTCCGCATGTACACAGATGGTGGACGGTGGCTTGACCAGGAAGACAGGACGTAGGTGACGCCGCAAGTGACGGAGTACCCCACGACCTGAGGGCGGCAGGAACGCGCATGTAAATAGGGGGCCCGCTGTGCGCGAGCGTGCCGAGTCATTGCCTGTCGGAGCGGCGCGCCATTCCCGAAGCCTGACGCCACTACTTCGTTTTCCATCGTATTCGCAGGTTCTTCCCCAATAGAGACCCTTTCGTTGACGTTTACCTTCACTTTCTGTACACATAGACCTCCGGCCGAGAGCACGGCAGCGGAGCAGCGCTCGCATGTATATTAAAGGCGACCTCCCGCCGTCGAATGGAGCAAGCTCCCCTTGCCCTCACCTTCGCCTCTAAAGTCTGCCCCTCCGAGCTTCGGGCACATCCTAAGAGTCATCGAGAATACACTCGCGAGAGCGCGAGACGAGTTTCGCCTGCGACGAGCGCGGGCACGAGCATTTAAGTAAGAGTTTTATTAGATCGTTCATCGAGCTTAGTTACGCGTTTAGACATCGAGTTTGTCATCGGCCATTCCCTCCCCACACGTAAAGCCCCGCATATATCGAGCGCCGACCCGTACGTCGAATCCACCTCCACAACGCCCGCCGCCACTTGGAGGAGCTGCCGCGCTGTATTTTGCCACCCTACTCCCGTGGGGTCAGTATCGGACCCTCACCTAGAAGTAGGGAGAGCTTACGCATGGTACTCGAGAAATGCCCCGGCTCGCAAGAGCTCGGAGTCGTTCTAGTCCCCTCAAATATGGCTGAAGATTTTCCTGCGGGCCTCCTGCAATACCCTGACTCTGTGATGTGCTTCATTTGAGAATGCTCCTTCGTCCAGCCCAAAAGTTAGCTGATACGGCGTGGTCTCGGTGAGATTTAGCGCAGAATAGGGGTGTTCAAAGTTCGCGCGCAAAATCGATTCACGGCCGCTTCGAGAGTCGTTTCGAACGAAGTGAAACGCGACTGAAGCGCGCGTAGACTTTGAACACCCCCGACCACGAGGGAGTTAAATCGAGTTGCTGGCGGCGTGAGGGACACATCCGCTTCATTCCTAATGATCTATATACACTCTATTATACCTGTAGTGGGGCTCCTGCATGCTCTCAGGGAGCAAAGATGCCTCCAAAAAATTACCCGTTGGTATGCACCACGGGGCGGCCGAGAAATGCTTGTATGGGGACACGCTTTTCATCGTAACATGCAGAAAATAAGTAGCAAAATATGAATATAAATTGATCCCACTGTCACTACTCCATGTGCATGGGGCTATTACAAAATTGATGCAATAGCACGGGAGGAGGGGGAGGAGGAGGGAATCAAGGACGGGACGAAGCGGGTTGGCCTGGAAAGCGAGCGTGAAGCGAGCGAAAAGCGGCGTACGAAGCGGCTCAGGAGCCGCTTCGACGGACGACCTCGATTCGACGCGATTCAGCACGATTCAGCCCGAATCGTCGCTTCAGGACCCCGAAACCGCGCCGCTTCGAGTTTCCGTTTCATCCTCTGAATCGCCATCAAAGCGAGTCCAAAGCGCGTTCAAAGCGAACTTTGAACACCCCTACTACTACTGTCACATTCAAATACTCACCGTACTGCCTATCAGATCGTTATGGGCACCGCAAAGGGCATGATCACTCACAACCGTGAAGGCAAACGGCTCACCGCGTCTTCCGTCGACGTTGAGGATCGCCCACGCGAACGACCCGTTCCCAATCTCCTGAGGTCACTGCTACTTAAAGCCTTTCGCCCGAAGATGACTAATCAAAGCATTGAGGACTGTAAAACAGCTGAGAATAGCCTTTATTAGTCTACGCAATCACAACTGACTTGGGCCTCAAGATCGACAAAGAGACCTCAAACCGTTACCTGCCTGCACTATCGGCTCTCCTCATGGGCTTATTGCTAGATATAATGAGGTAAGTAGTCCCATTCGCCTGCCATGCGAGAAGAGCGCGTGCAAGGCTATATGATATCGCACCACGACATACGAGTAGCGTGCTATTGACCCGGCAGAATGCAGTGCAGGCTTTGAACTCTTCTTAGGGATTCGTCTCGAGCACACTGCCCGAAGGTGTCGCAGCAGGGTCGGATATGGTCAAGCCGGCGAACAGTTCTGTATTTGCATTGTTCGAACGTTCAACGGTGGGGCGGTCGTAGCATCGGTGCCAAGCAGGAGGCCAGCAACAACGTAGTGCACTCTACGTTGTTGCTGACTTTTTAACTTACCACTTGGCAATCGACCATACCACTGTCGCATTAGCAGAAGGCAAAATGCACTACTCATCGACACTGACGCGCGTAAAACGCTTGCGTACTTTTGCGAATACATCACCATCGTGTCCCCCCTGGTGCCGCCCTAGAATTTTCTATCTGGAAAGCGGGAGTGCTCGCGGCTGCAAATGGGCGCCGCAGAGCTATAACCTTCCCAGCAGCTGATTCCGACTCAAAAGGTGCACTGAGAATTTGTGAGTCGATAGCAAACTTCATGGCACGCGCTAAAGGCCGTACGCTTGCAGATTTTGACAGCAGCTGGCGGCCTATCGCAAGACCCCTAGGGGGAAGTTGTAGCCAACGTCAGAAACCGCGTGATTGCACAAACACGTACATCTCCGCTCCGGTGCTCATGCAGTCACAATCCCTGTAGGCTGCCTTTCCGTCAGACCTTTCGTACCGTTGTCGTCATACTTACTGCTTTGTACACCTCTCCATGAGTAGATTCTGCCTCGAAGCTTGATTCGATCCTGAGCGCGATGCTGATGTCCCTCATTGACATCAAGACAAAGAGTCAGACTGTTGGGGCAACCGAAGGTAGATGTTACATTTGGGACGCGTACTGCACAATGTAAGTGGTCGAGCGTATGTGAGATACGGCCCGGTGTTGCATCAGGTGCCAGCACTCTTGCTTCGCTTTTATCTTGACCAGCTATCTGACACGATCCTCGTAGCGCCTCTGTACGGTAGTCGGGAGAGCGGCCCAGGAATGGCTCTTCGGGCAGTTGGCCTGCGATAGCCCAGCAGTCTCGTTTCGACCACGCTGCACAATCTGCTGCGTAACGCCTCGAGGCGATGTACCTGCGCAAGTGCAAGCGCAGACGAGGGTGATTGCGGCGGGGCACCTTCCTAAAACGTTCACTTCGGCCTCCGACGCGGTGACCTGTTTCGGGATAAAATGAGAGCGCCCCGCAGTCCGGGGTTGACTTGTGTTTGTCTCCAGGCTCGCGCGCTTCCGTCCGCCCATATAACCACCACCGCCGGTCTTATCTCTCTTCCTCCTCTACGACCCCCTCGTTCACTCGAAGGCGGTCTCTATCTTCTACACATCCCTATCCTCTCATTCTTAACTGCTTCAGGATGCGCTGTTTACTCGTCGCTTCTGTACTCGCCGCCGGCCTCGCTGGCACGCTTGCAACCTCAACACCGCCTCCATTGGAACGTCGTGGCGACGCCGACATCCGCCGTTCCCGCAAGACCATGGGCTTTGGTCCCGAGCATCCGCATGCTGTCTTCCGAACAGATGTTGCCCAGGCCTTCCAACCAGCCGGCTTCCGGGCCTCGGAGAAGCCGCATCCCTTCGAGATCGCGAAGAGCTTCGTGAAGACCCTCATGCCGGAGGGTTCATCGTTGAGAGACGAGGTTGACAGCTCCGTGGCCTTCTATGTCCGCCCGGACTCGTACGTCGACAAGAACACCGGTATCGCGCACGTATACCTCCGCCAGACCGTGTTCGGAATTGAGGTTGCGGACGGAGACGTGAATGTCAACGTGAATGTTCGGGACGGTCGTGTGCTTTCGTACGGTAGTTCGGTGAGTGTTCCTGGCGTCAAATGCTTTGGTTTCCTTGTCCACGTTCCGAAGTCCCGGAGGTTGTGTGCCGCAGTTGGCGCGCACGCACGTGACTACTTATCTGGTACCGGAGTTCATGCAGGGTTTTCTCCTGTATCCAATCGAAATTCTTGGGAAGCAAAAAGTAGTACAACGTTTACGTCGTGTGCTTTTGACTATAACGCTGCTGCGATTCGTTACCGGCTATGGCTGACCTCTATTCCAACAGATCCACACGAATGGTCTTCCGTCACAGCTCTTTACCACCCAGTCCGATTCCGAGCACGTCCAGGACAAGCTCTGCGCCAACCTGGGCACGGAGTACAACTCCAGATGGTCACAACTCCGTCAACGTATCGAGTCTCTGCACCCCACTCGACCTGACGGGCAGGACCCGTTGACCCTCGCCGCTAGCGATCCGGCCGAGCGCCAGCGACTCGATTCTCTTGCGACCGAGATACTTGGCCAAGTTCCACAGCTGTTCAGCTCGAACTGTGATCGCCTTCGCCATGCTTCTTCTTCCGCCATTACCCCTCAGTCTGAGGAGGAGAATCCTCTCTCTGCTCTCCTTGCGTTCATGCTCCATGCGACACCCTCCTCCGAGCTCGCCTCCGCCATTCACTCGTCTCCTCGTAAATATCTCGACGGCATGATGCTGACCATGGCCCATCATCTGCACAACACAGATGCGCCGGCGAGCCCAGCTTTTGAGATCGACGGCGTCCCCGACGCAACTGACAAGGTGCGCGGACGCCTGGCCTGGATGCAGGTCCCCAAGGCAGATGGTGGCGAGATGAGTCTCGAGCTTGTCTGGAAGTTTGACGTCCCGATGGCCGACAACTGGTATGAAGCGGCGGTCACCTACAGTGAACCGCATCGGATCGTGTCTGTCGTCGACTGGGCCGCAGACGGCTTCGTGGACGCGCCGGTCAACTTCGTTGACTGGTTTGCGCCTTTCCCGAAAGAGCCTCCCACCGAGTTCCCAAGCACACGCGCGTCAGCGGAGTACCTTGTACACGAGTGGGGTATCAACGACCCGTCAGAGGGTAACCGCACGTTCCAGTATGAGAACTTCGATGCTCTCGCCAGCCCCATCGGCTGGCAAGTTGTCGAGCTCTCGGGCGACCCTGCTACCTCGAGCAAAGGGACTCTATCATTCAGGAACACTTCCACGACATGGGGCAACAACGCCTTTTCTCACGAGAACTGGGAAGGCGAGAACGCCTGGGTAACAAATTACAGACCCGAGGCCGCTATTCGCGTTTCGAAGGATGCCGATGGGGAGGAGGGCGAGCGCGCCGTTTTCGACTTCACGTACGATCCCAAGGCTACTGAGCGCTCCGAGTCTATGCGCGAGGCTCGCAAGTACATCAATGCGACCGTTACGCAGCTGTTCTACACCACCAACTTATTCCATGATCTCACCTACCGCTATGGCTTCGACGAGATTTCTGGTAACTTCCAGCAGCACAACTTCGCCCGCGGTGGTAAGGGAAACGACGCAGTTATCACCAACGCTCAGGATGGCAGCGGGTACAACAACGCCAACTTCATGACCCCTCCTGGTATGTCCATCCTGGCACTCTGTTATGACATTCGCTAATGTTGTATGAATAGATGGCCAGAATGGTCGCTGCAGGATGTACCTTTGGAACACCGCCAACCCATACAGGGACGGTGATATGGAGGCTGGTATCATTATCCATGAGCTTGCACATGGCCTTTCCACTCGCCTCACCGGCGGACCGGCGAACTCGGGCTGCCTCGGCTGGGGTGAGAGTGGTGGTATGGGCGAGGGCTGGGGAGACTTCCTGGCCACCACCATTCGCAGCGTGAAGGACCGCGTTGCCGACGCCAAGGTTGCGGAGGACGGCCTCGGTGAACCTCGCGACTATTCCCTGGGTGCTTGGGCTGCCAACACCGATAAGGGTATCCGAAACTTCTTATACAGCTTGGTGAGCGCGATGTCGATCATCGAATGAGTTGGCTTCTGACTCAACTTTATAGAACATGACTGTCAACCCGTCGACCTACAAGACCCTTGACAAGCCCGGCTATTGGAGTGTGCATGCGATTGGCGAAGTCTGGGCGGAGATGCTTTGGGTGGTCGAGCAGAAGCTGATCAAGAAGCACGGTTTCTCGGACACGCTCTTCCCGCCCAAGCCATATAAGAACGGCACGGTCCCGCTCGGCGACTTCTACCGCGAGACTCCCGGCGGCACGCTCGTCCCGAAGCACGGCAACACGCTCGCGGTGCAGCTCGTCATCAGCGGCATGAAGCTCCAGCCCTGCCGCCCCTCGTTCTTCGACGCGCGCGATGCCATCATTCAGGCAGACGAGCACCTCACCGGCGGCGAGAACTACTGCGAGATTTGGAACGGCTTTGCGGAGCGCGGGCTTGGTCCTGATGCTCGTGTCGACGGCCGCACGCCGTGGGGCGGAGGAATCCGCACCGACGACTTCCAGGCGCCCACGCGCTGTTCCAAGGGGTCTGCGCTCTGAGCCCACCCCTGTCGACGGTGATGGTACTGCCGACCAGCTCTTTCGGAGTGCCTGCTTCCATCGTCTGTCGTGGGCTGTCTGGCGTCTTTCCTTGTGTTGTTGCGATTAATACAGACGATACCCCGCCTGTCTACAGTTACTCCAGTAATCTAGTCTCCCACCGTCCCTGTAGAGGTTGTAGAGCTACCTTCGTCCTTTTTTGTATACTAGCTCACGTACGCCCTATATCATGACTGTTATCTGTCGTCTCATGTCTGGGCTGAGCTCGTGGTAGTATTGGGCTCGCCCTTCATAGCCATGTAATAGACACACGTGCGGGTATGTCCTGAAGCTCTTCTACACTGCACAGTGGGATTCTCCTGCACATAGCTCCGCACGTCACTGCTTCCAGCTACCCCAAAAACCAGGGGCTGGCCACCTGTGCGGCAGCTCTGGGGCACCGGCGTCAAACGTACCTTGCGGCGTTGACAATATTGGCACGGGCAGGGCCACAGAGGTGTTGAATGAAAGAGAAACGGCGAGGAAAACGGTAAGAGCGAGGTTGAGGCAGCGCATAGTGGAAAGTTCGTATGGGCTAGGTTTTGCGTCCGGCGCGAAGAATGTCTAAAATGGGCGTCCGTTTGTACTTTGGTAGCATGGTCTCGAAGACAGGCGTGCTTACCTCGAGATTGTCCGAGTCCTGCTCAGAGTAGAGGCGGTAGAAAGCAAACGGCTCTATACTTGGGGTTCTGATCGGGTTCGCGGAAGGCACTGAGCCGAACGACGACATGGCGAGGAACAGGCATAGCATCCACAGCCGAGAGCGTACCTGCGATCTGTCACGGCATGCTGCGTGTCGGGGTCAACGCAACCAACAAAGATATCAAAATAAATTTGCATTAGTAGGGTTACAAGCTTGGGGCGACTCTACGAAGACGTGCGAACATGAGCAGATATAGGGTAGGGTATCGTCAAGGATCGTATCGGAAGTCATGAGAGTCGTAACACAACATCTGCTAGGTCTACGTTTAGTGGAATGAGGCATGAATGAACATCCAGCAAATCCACGCACAAGACGCTCTGCTAACACGCGCAACCTCCCTCGTTTGTGTCCTCCTCTGCCCCGTCCAGCGTGATGGTCCCGGGCATTTCCATACTGCTCCTTGTCTGGTTCTTCGTCCCAGAGGCAGCGCCAGCAGCCTTGGCGGAAGCGGCTTTGGCCGCCTTCGGCTTGCCGCCACCAACGAGCTCGGGCTCCGCGACGATCCGGCGCACGACCTCCTTGAAGGCGTCCGCAACCCCGACGGCCGTCTTCGCTGACGCCTCGAAGAACAGCGAGTTCATGCGCGTCGCAAAGTGTTGGCCTTCGGAATAAGTCACTTGGCGCGAGTATTCCTGGGCGAGTTGAACATGCCTGTAAGACAACCGCACAAGAAAGCGTATGACAACGCGCACCTTGTCGACTTTATTGCCCACGACCATCTTCACGACCTTCGGGTTGACGTACGTTTCGAGCTCGTTGTACCACCGCGGCAGAGCGTCGAAGGACTCGCGGTTTGCGACGTCGTAGACGAGAATGACGCCGTGCGCGCCACGATAATACGAGGATGTGATAGTCCGGAAACGCTCTTGACCAGCAGTGTCCTGTTCAAGCTTCAGTAAATCATACGCCAAAGAGTTATGGGACGTACCCATATGCTAAGCTTGACCTTCTTCCCGTCGATATCCATCTTGTGTACCTGCGTGCCGAGTGTCAGCAATCTGGAGCTTACTAGAGCTCCAAGACGGAGCGACATTTCGACATGTTGTAGAGATGCTTTGTGCTACGAGACTGTCATCGACATGGGAGTCACCACTTACCCGGAAGTCTACACCAATGGTTGCGCTTGCCTCGTCCTCTGGCACCCACTGCTCGTCAGAAAACCTGAGGAGCAAGCTGCTCTTCCCTACGGAAGAGTTTCCAATCAAGAGGAGCTTGACATTGATGGGTTGCGTCGCCGCCTGTGACGATGAAGCCATGTTCTATGAGTGGTAAGTTCGAAAGAGGCTACTGTGGTCGAAGTGCTTGGTTCAACAGTTCCCGAGACACTTGAGCACACGCGAAGTTTTGTCGGTTGGGGCTAAGTCTACAAGGGGGGAACGTGGCTGCGTGGAGGAAGTGAGGTGGAGGACCCTGGAGTAATTGCTGAACGTAAAGCAGCGTGCTCCAGACGCGTTTAGCCGGCCGGAGCTCCATGCGTCGGCCCGCCATCACTTGATGCGCCTTGTGATGCGTACAAAGAGCTGACGCTTTCATCAGCAAAAAAATTACCCAATGATCTAATCTGGCCAAGCTAGATAAAGGCACCCATGAATATAAGTCAACCCACCCTGAGATTGCCATTGCCATAGTAGATAGAGCACCTGTATGATTTCTAAGGCTTACCAGCCTGGGGACCTTTATCATTCAGTTAAGGTTGGCAATGCATTACCAGGGAGCGCCCACTGCGCAAAACGGCAAGTTATGCAGAAGCGTAACCTCGGCGTAATCTGAGATTACACCTAGATTCTGCGCGTGCTACGGATAGATTAAGCCGCGGGCGGAATGACGTCGTAACCGCCAGGTTACGCTCACATTTCACCCAGACTACGAGCACCCAGCGTTAATGTGAGAATGACATGAGTATCCGCGTGAATTAGAATACAATAAGTCTCCTACTCGTAAATAAGCGCGAATTTAATACCGCACCCTGGCTGTATGCGTGCGCTTAGCGGTAATCGACCTTGCCCCGCACGTTTTAACTCACGCCAGCACCCTCGTCACTATGTCTGACAACGAAAGAGACTACGAAACTATACTTGAGGACCACCTCCAGTCTGCCTCGGCCTACGAGATGATTCGTCTGCTGCGCTCTCGGGATCTTTTGCAAGCATTGCTCGATCTTCACTACTTTGTCCGTGGCATCGCTGGGTCTCGCATCATCGCCAGGGCTCTTTACTGTGACGACCCTACAGAACTGCACTCTATGGAGTATCGTAGTGCCCCTTCTCTCGCCTTCAACATCCATCTCTTGGCCATCAGCGCTATCCACACCGCTTTGGAACTTGGCAACCATTCTCCTGATCTCGGACTTCCTCAAGAATATTTTGATGACCTCAACGAGGCTCGCCAGAGGATTTATAATGCAAACAGTCGCCTTGTGCCACACCTCCGTATTCATCAGCCCAGTGGGATTTTCCTTGGGCGACATGAGGAGCTGAGAGAAGATATCGAGAGGGCTTACCAGAGGGAGCAGAGGAGGTGCGTGGCAGCATTTTCACACTAATCTTGCAACCGACGCAATTGTGATATATAGCCAGAAAGAAGGCCTTCCTTCTGCGGCTACTGCCAACCCGGTCGAGAAAGAGGAAAAACAAGGAGTCAAGTTGCCCTCTACCTCTTCTCCTCGCCAACTCAGCACGCCTGCTGTGCCTCGGTATGTGCTAGTAACTGTACATAATATGATTATGCTATAATATATAGGTTTCACAGCCATGTTAAGCAAGCTGCGGCTCAGCGAGCTCGGCATGCAAACAGGTCTGTCAAGGCCGAAACTAATGACGAAAAAGGTGCAAAGCCTTTTGATACGCCTTCTGCCACATCCTCCACCAGATCTCGCACCGGTTTCGCGCTGCCCTCTCCGCCGCCCACGCGTCAACGTCCTAAACGCTCTCCGCGGGGATTGTGGTCTGGTGGATGTGGGAAACAAGATGCGCCGTTGGCGGGTTGGAGGCGGTATGCGGAGGACACTTTTGTGGCACTGACTACAACTTGTTATGTCATGGGGTTCTGGTTCTGATTTTTGGGGACACAATTCTGTACACTTGGGTGAACAATCTATTCGATTTCAAGAATATTTACAGGTGGAATAGTGGGATAAACGGGAAAGCAAGCGAGGAGGATGGGGACACTTAATGTTGCTATATATGGAATATTTATGATTATGTAATGACGCACTGGGAAGATAACCTCCCTCGGTGACAGACATTACGCTCGGGCAGAACCTGGGCGAAATCCTGTCGAAATCCGGTCGTAATCCTTTCATAATTGTGCGGTTACCACAAGATTCGCCTACGTCATAATCCGGGCGTGATCTTGGAAGAACCCGGGCGTAATCCAGACGTTACGCTCAGGTTACACCGCGGCGTAACTTTCCCGTTTCGTGCAGTGGCCAGGCTGGGTGGCATTTGCAGGCACTCGCAGGATTTATTCAATAATCGGATCTTGGG